ATACCGCCTTCCACAGTGGTTGCACCATTTTACATTCCCACCAACAGTGAATAAGGGTTCCAGTTTCTCCACAGCCTCGCCAGCATTTGTTGCTTGCTGTTCTGCTAAATTTTGCTATCCTGACTGGGGTGAGATGATATCTCATAGTTGTTTTGGTTTGCATCTCTCTTAGAGCTAGGGATTTTGAATGTTTCTTCATGTGCTTGTTGGCCATCTGAATGTCTTCTTTGGTGAAGTGTCTATTCATATCCTGTGCCCATTTTTCATTTGGATTGTTTACCTTTATCCTGTTGTGGTAATGTTTATATTTCTAAAGAAAGAAATTGTATTACTTTTATTTTCTCATTGATCTTAAGAGTCCTTTTGGGGGATGGCATCCTAACCCTTGAATTATTTTAAATGTAATAATGATATTTTTTTGTACATAGAAAACTAGGAAAACAAACAGATTTGTCCTGGAAAGCATTCAACCGGGTGGCTCCTTGGAGGCAAGGATTCTGAGACTCCGTCTAACATACTTTGGACATGTTGTAAGGAGAGACCTGTCCTTGGAGAGGGACATCATACTTGGGAGGATGGAGGGACAGTGCAGGAGAGGAAGGCCCTCTATGAGGTGGATTGATTCAGTGACTGGGATAATTGGTATGGGAGTGTCAGAGACAGTGCGATTGGCACAGGACAGAGCAGAGTTTAGGGCTGTTGTACATAGGGTCACTGTGAATCGCAAGCGACTCGACGGCACATAACAACAACAATAATGATATAGTTGAATTGAACTTTGCTATATGGAAACTTATTTTATCCCCATTTGTTGTTTCATTTTTCTTCTTTTTCTTTTTTGAATGGAATATATATTCCAAAATAGCTTTCATGTAATAAACTATATTAAATGTGAAATGAAACATACTGACATGTATAGATACTTGGATTTCTTTACAACTTAAAAAATTGAAACACAAATTTTGTAGACCAAAACTTAAAAACAGTGTGTGTGTGTGTGTGTGTGTGTGTGTGTCTACTGTAGCCTTGCTTGTTGGGGGAAGTCTGGTTCTAATCTAATCTGTAGAAAATTTTACTGCTTACTCAAAGGCTGCCCTTCTCAAATGGCTCTGCGCCCTCTGCTGTTTCTTGGGAGAAATATAAGGATCATAATCTCTCTTTAAATTTATAGCTTTAGAAATCCAATGGAGGGTCATCTATGGGTTGGTTCTGACTAGACAGCAATGAATTGAATTTTATGTATTGCCCTATTAGCTATGGTTTTATTGTAATTGTGAGCCATTGAGTTAGAACCAACCCATAGCTGAGACTCCAGCGGGTTTTCAGAGGGAGTAAATTACATGAGAGGTTTCCCATCCTTTGCCTGCAGAACAGCTGATTTGAACCGTGTGCCTTTGGGGTTGCAGTGCAATTTCTTTATTTTGCTGTTCCATTGTTTGTTCTAAAAGTTATAATATGCATCTTTTTTTTTAAATTGGGAAAAAACATATTGGAGGTACAAGGAGGTGAGGGTTGGGGGCAGAAGGGTGACGTTGGGCCAGGATGCAGAGCTGCACAGTTTGGTGGGTGGGGGGAGCAGGTGAAGGAAATGATGAGGGT